AAAAAAAAAAAAAATACTAAGCTATTAAGAAAGAACTTTCAAAAATGTTTGTTTTCTAGGAATAAAAAAACAAAATTTTTTTTGTTTGCCTACATTTTTGTTAAATCCATCGAATATTGAAGTATACGTTTTATTTCAAAATAAAACAAAATGACATTTAAAAAAAACACGGTTTTAATTAACATATATATTAATTTCATCGATTTGAAACAAATTTACTCCATAAAGTTAACGCTGGCTGAAAAAAAACTAAAAAAGTAGTATTTTCTGCCTGTCCGGATTTCATAGTCCGCTACTGTAAGTCAGCTATAAGATATAGTCAGCTAATTCTTATGAAATTTGGTGGGTCGTATTATTTTGCCAAAAATAGCATTTATGTAAAATTTCTATCTCTAAAAACACCAAAGTTATACCATGTCCGATCGATTAGTTATATGACAGCTATAGGATATAGTCGGCCGTTTCGACTTATATACTGCGTGCAAAAAAAAAAGAAGGTTGTTTGCAATGTTTCAAATCGATAACTTTAAAACTGAGAGACTAGTTTGCGTCGAAACAGACAGACGGACAGACAAACGAACAGACGGATATGCAATTTTTTAGTTCTGTTTCTTATAATTTGTTTCTAATAGGAATTATAATACTTAATAAAAATAATCGTGGTAAGTTCTTGCTACAAGTGGTTTCTTGAAAATATTAGTAAAATAAAAATCTTGAAAAATCAAAATCGAAATATGAAAAATGATTTAAAATATTTTTTTATTATGTGAATGTGTATTTTATAAAATATTTTTTCCCCAGACATCTAAACCAGTGTTGCTCATCCCATTGCTCTCGCTGCTCATTTGTTTTTGCAAATGCTAATGCATACGGAGTTGTGTCTGACTGCTCACGCCAAAAGGTTCCGTTGCTCACGCCATAAGCTTCGTTATTCCCAGCATAGGCAAAGGGCAATTACAATAACAATTTTTTGTGTTTTCCCTATACTTCTCAATCGTGATAATCCGAATGCATGTTGTTGTTGTTAGAGTGTCGAAAACTTTTCACTGCAAGAAATTCATTCTTGTTTTTGTTTCTGCCAAAATGGTCGATCTGAAGCGATGAATTTGTTCTTCGCAGAACATTGTTTTAAAGTAATAACCTAAAGAATAGGTCCTTTTTTTAATTGCTGTAATAAAATGTATTTTTTTTATATTGATTTTTTTTAGACCCTTTGTGAATGTTACTATAATTTTATTTTTCAGTGCAACCACATGGATGGGAAAAAAATTCTCGCACCAATGTTTGATGATTTTTTGCATTGGTATCGGAGTTTGCTCTCCCGTATGCAGAACTTTGGCACCACTGGTCTAAACATTCCTTATAATCTTTATTGGTAGAACCTTAATTGGTGTTTTGCTGCTCACTCCACGGGATGGTAAAAAAATGACAACCACAATTCAAACAAGAAAGGAAAGCTAAAGTTGGGTCATTTCCGATCGTTCAGTTATATGGCAGCTATAAGATATAGTCGGCCGATCCTTATGAAATTTGGTAGGTTGGATCAACTAACCAAAAATAGAGTCTGTACTAAATTCCAGCTTTCTATCTTTAAAAACACGAAAGTTGGGTCATTTCCGATCGTTCAGTTATATGGCAGCTATAGGATATAGTCGGCCGATCCTTATGAAATTTAGCATGTCGTATTATTTTGCCAAAAATAGCTCTCATGTCAAATTTGAACTCTCTAACTCTAAAAACACCAAAGTTATACCATTTCCGATCAATCAGTTATATGGCAGCTATAGGATATAGTCGGCCGATCCCGGCCGTTCCGACTTATATACTGCGTGCAAAGGAAAGAAGGGTGTGTGCAAAGTTTCAAGACGATAGCTTTAAAACTGAGAGACTAGTTTGCGTAGAAACAGACAGACGGACAGACGGACAGACGGACATGCTCATATCAACTCAGGAGGTGATCCTGATCAAGAATATATATACTTTATAGGGTCGGAGATGTCTCCTTCACTGCGTTGCACACTTTTGGACAAAATTATAATACCCTCTGCAAGGGTATAAAAATAGTATATTTGATCTCAAAGTAAGCCTTTTAAAAATCAAACACTGACGAATGTGCGCTAAATTTCACTATCAGACAATATGCATTCGAAAGAGAATTAAAAGCCCCACAACATGAACCATACCTTATAGTTGGACTAGGTGGAATAATGCAATAGAATAATACCCTCATTTCGTTCTTAAAGAATCAAGCAAAAAATCTGGATGTGGGGCCAAAAATCAAAGCTTAAACCTATTTTTATACCCTTGCAGAGGGTATTATAATTTTGGTCAAAAGTGTGCAACGCAGTGAAGGAGACATCTCCGACCCTATAAAGTATATATATTCTTGATCAGGATCACCTCCTGAGTTGATATGAGCATGTCCGTCTGTCCGTCTGTTTGTTTCTACGCAAACTAGTCTCTCAGTTTTAAAACTATCGACTTGAAACTTTGCACACACCCTTTTTTCCTTTGCGCAGGATATAAGTCGGAACGACCGGAATCGGCCGACTATATCCTATAGCTGTCATATAACTGATTGATCGGAAATGGTATAACTTCGGTGTTTTAAGAGTGAGAGAGTTCATTTCACATGAGCGATGTTTTTGGCAAAATAATACGACATGCCAAATTTCATAAGGATCGGCCGACTATCTCCTATAGCTGCCATATAACTGAACGATCGAAAATTACCCAACATTCGTGTTTTTGAAGATAGAAAGCTGGAACTTGGTACAGATTATATTTTTGGTCAGTTAATCCTACCTACCAAATTTCATAACGATCGGCCGACTATATCTTATAGCTGCCATATAACTGAACCATCGAAAATGGTTTTTGGTAGAAATATAAACTTTGGTATGTTTGAAGATAGAAGGTTGGGACTTTTTTTAGATTTTGTATTGTAATAAATTAGATTATATATTCATATTCCCATAAGGATCGGTATCCGATGTTTGCGATATATATCCGGTTTTAACTGCAAGGGTATATAAACTTCGGCTCCGCCCGAAGTTAGCTTTCCTTTCTTGTTTTCTTTGTTATTGGGGACCAATATAGATTTAAATCAGTGATGCCCAGATACGGTCATGGTTCGAACTTACATTTCTATAAAAATTGGGAAACTACTGCCGTTTAGTCGTTCAAGCTGTTAGCGGTTATTAATATTCTAACGGTTTGTAGATTTTAAAAATTGTGGTATTCGTGGCATCTTTCACACGTTGATCATATTATTTTTGATTAAAAGAACAATGGGAGCTTATACAAATTTGATTACGTAATGCCGTAGATTTTTTTTTATTATAAATGTAAAATTAAAATGACACATTTTTTATGTAAATTTTACATACTTCTTAATATTATTTTTCCCATTAGCATCTTTTTTAAACCCATTATTAAATCAAATCATACGTAGGCATATACATATGTTTACGTAGGCATATACATTCTTAATATGTAATTTTATTATATTACATATTCACTGATTTTTTTTATTGCTTAAATCGTCGGTATAATTAAAAAAATATATTTGTTTTTCAAATCTAAGCTATTGTTCTCGTTTTTAGGTAAAATCTTTAATTATATTTAAAAAAAAAATGAGTTATGTCAAGTTCATGTCCGCACTTTGTATTTATTCGCTAGTTGATTTTTTTTTTCCATTTAAGTGCGGTTTGGCGGGAGCGTGAAACATTGAGCGTGAAACACTCTATTAAAATTTTTATATTGAACTGTAAATATTAATAACACATTACATTCATAATTTTCTATGTGCGTGCATATGTATGATGAAAAGATCCATATTATACAAGTCATGGCTGCGCTTGGGTGTTGATTTAAATATTTAAATAATCTACAAATTTTGACGATTTAATAAAATTACAAATGTATATATTTACAATATTTATTTTTACGATTTCCCCCAATAGTACCAAACCAAGTTATTTAAAAAAAAAACATATAAAAAAAAAACATATAAAAAAAAATAAATAAAAAAAAAATGTTTGCCTTTTTTCTGGATAAGTTTTTTTTTTAATTTATATTCTCTAGCATTATTACGCTCGAAAAAAAACGATAACGCCAAAAATAAAAGATAAAATCAGGTATTAAAAAAACCATAAAATTTTTAATTTATATTCTCTAGCATTGAAGTTTTCAATATACAAAAATAAATTTTTCATCCGTAAATTTTGATAAAACTATGTATTCCAAATATATATTATTATTACGCTCGAAAAAAACGATAACGCCAAAAATAAAATATAAAATCAGGTATTAAAAAAACCATAAAATTTTTTTTTGTTTCTTTTTAAATATCTTTTAGTTGAATCTGATTAAGATTTTTAGCAAGTAATTTTTAATGTATGGTTAAATTAGCGAATTTAAAGTTGGTAAAAACAATTTGATTCACATGTACACATTACATTAGGAAAATTCACATGTATACATTAATTTGTATCAAATTCATATGTATAATTTATCTTCAGTACAGGCATACCCATAGACTTGCACAGAACGTTTTTTATTTAAGTGCCTTCATTTTTTGTGAACAGATTGATGGTTCTTCAAAGATATTATAATTTTTTAACGTATACATTGGTAAAATGAACTTTCAGCATTATCCAAGCAAAGGTAAGATGTTCAATATTTCAAAATATCTTTTGCAGAAGCCGGATACTATCTAATACTTTTTGTTTACTAGGCACTATATTTTATTTACTTTATTTTTATTCAAATTAATTTGTTTGTGAACACAAGTATTAACTTTCGGTAATACACAAGTATTAACTTTCGTTAATACACATGTATTAACTTTCGTTAATACACATGTATTAACTTTCGTTAATACACATGTATTAACTTTCGTTAATACACATGTATTAACTTTCGTTAATACACATGTATTAACTTTCGTTAATACAAAAGTATTAACAAGTATTAAAATCATTTTCGGTCTTAAAAAATTTATTGTAACTAATTGTTGGTTTCATATTTTATTTAGAGGTCCTTTAACATTTAATTCTATGTAGATAATATAAAATGCTGTTTTTTATAATTGTAAAACTACAAAATACTTTACATTTTACCATAAAAGTGAATATGTAATATTTTCCATTCCAAATAAAAACATTTTATACCTTTATATATATATGTTTTTGTATATAAATATATACTTATTAATATTAGCACTTATTTATTTAATTTACTTAACTATTTATTATGTGACATGGCGCAGCTCTTAGATATTTTTGAGCTTGCCTTCGGTGGATGCAGAGATGGCTTTATACATTCCGATTTTGTTAATATCCTAAAAGATATTCATAAACATAAATTAAAATGAAAGCTACTAATTTAAATAACGGTGGATCGTTCGACTCATACTTTGTTGAAGTGCTGTGCTTATAAAAAAAATTATACTTAGATTTAAGGTCTTATAATTTCATTTAAATATATACGTTACATTATGTGTAAATATAGAATGAATATCTAATCTAATTTCCATTTCAAGATGGAAAAGTTTCTACATTTTTAATGTCAGCGCGTTTTATTGCTCCTTATTATTTTCACTTCACTTTTGAAAGTGTTAAAAAAACAATACTAATTGCTGCCTCTTCAATTAATTACATGTTATTAGAGTCTCATTTAATTATGCCGCATAGTTTTTCATTGAATAATAGAAGAGAATAATATAAAAAAAACAAAAAAAAAAGCACTGCACTTTCATAGTAGTAAATACAGAAAAAAATTGTTAGTTTATCTCTTGCAGTGTCAATTTATTATGTTTTCAAACTCATTTCATGTTTTTTTTTAAAGTAGCGTCTACCGTTTTCATGTTTCATACGGTTACCGTTTTATTACAAATTTACTCAGAAAAATAGGATTTAAGTAACATTGAGATCATATATTTTTTATCATATATATATATTAAAATTTTAATAATGACACCCAGCGCTGTATCAGATGTTATTTAGTCAATTTATAACAACGAAACCTCTTTATTGAGAAAGATCAGATTCCATCTCTAAATACCATTATTTCCTTAAACTTGTTTTATTTCTTTATTGTCACGTTTAGTATATCGACCACGGGGTAACGGATTATGGCTCCCGATCTTTGTTACCGCCATCATCCATGGTGACGACAACTGCCATTGCCGCGGTTACATTGACCTGATGAAGTAAATTCGACACTTGCTGGTTTTCATGTAGCTCCTTGTCGTTAATAAGTGTATTCCTTCCATCAATGCTGCTAAGATTCAGCGCCGCTGTCTCGGTTTCAGAGACTTCATAATCATGCGCAGAAAATTTTATAAACGGTTCATAAGTGCTAAGTTGCGATTGAACCTGCTGTTCGGGTTCATACGGTTGCTGCTTGTTATTAATGTATGATTGAAATGCTGGAGGAGCTGTTCGAATCTGATAAACTACATGCTGCAGATGTGGCTCTTGAATTTGCGGCTGCTGCCCCCGGTTATTTTCATCTGGTTCCATCTGTATATTCGGCGACAGACGTGAAGACGCCTGAAACGGATAGTTGCCATCTATTTGCCTTTCGGCATATGGAACGTCCTCTACTTGGTGTGCAACATTAAAATCTACTTTTGGATGTTGCAAACGCTGTTGATTCTGCTGTGGTGAGGAGGGAGATTGCTTGATATTAGATGTATTAACAGAAGAATTTCTAATATTTGTGTCGTTTTTGCATTTCAATATGTTTTCGTGACTATTTTTCTTTGTATGAGAGCTGCACAATTTAGGGCTGAATTCGTTCTTGTTGTTGGCATGGGTAGAATGGACGATACTGACTTGATTTGTAATTGTATTGATATTTTTATGGCCAGTACTTGTTTTAATAACGCTATCATTGTAATTATTACAAAAGCTGTTGATATTATATTTAGTGGCTTGTGCATTGGTGGGGTTCACCGAAAGATCGAGCTCCGATCTATGGAATTTTGGCTATTCCTTAATGAGACGATAGATGTGATGAGTGGTACCGCTGTTCTGAGCAGCAACCTCAAAAACATACGCTATGCACAAAAGTGTCTCCTGGGTTTCACGAGCTCGCATCACCTAACAAAAGAAACAATATTTAAATATATTTCATTGGAATTGAGGAAGTACATACTTGTAATATTGTAAAATTTTCTAATACGCTATTCATCATATAGCGTTCAGGTAAGTTTTTTAACTTTTGTATAAAATTGATCATATACTCGCACATTGGGGAGCGCTGGATTCGATAGACATAACGATTATTTTCTAACCGAGAATATTCGCTTTCCACCTTCTCCACTACCTGTTTGCCGAATGAGCAAACGATTGTTGAGCATACGAGCACTACGTTCTCATTACTCTCATATCTGCAATGATTTAATAATGAAACATATTTTTGTTTGCAGAGTTGAATAATCTTACTGGCTAGTTACGCCATAGAAATCTCCAGAATCGCTCCCGGTAGTTATGTCGGTGTTTAAGTCTGCCCAGCATTTAACCAGATAAAATGCATTCTGGGGCCCCTTTTCATACAAATCTTTAAGACCGCCAGATTTTTCCGGAAATTTATCAAATATTTGACGAATGTCGACAGTCTATAAAATAATTAACATAGATAATTTTCGTTTGACAAGTTAATTTTACAAATAAACTCACTTCAAGCAATGGATCGGAAAATGAAGGCTTACCGCCTAGTTGTACGAACAGGTGACGGTTATACTAAAACAACATATGTTATATATATAATTCAGACTAGTTTACAAATATTTAGACAGTTTGTGTGCATACCATATCATCTCTTTGGATTTCCATGAATGCCGTAAACTCAAGTAATCTAAATTTGTGGGTAGCAATTGCTCTTCCTTCCCAAGGCAATTGTGCGGGCAGGATACCTGCGTCAATGTCGCCCGATACTGTAGTCGACGGCTTTCCGGCCGAATAAGGTGGTTGCGCGAATGGTTTGATACTGTAATCATACAAACTAAATGTCAATGGAAAAGTGCTGTGTGGTCAACTCCTTTAGTAGGTAATGTCAACTTACTCTTGCGATGTACTCGGCTGTAGTCCCGGTTGCCAGAATTGCTAAGTAAAAAAAAAAATGTTTCTTAATTATATTTTTATATTATATGTGCATACATACATACAAGGTGTGTGTCAAAAGTTTCCGAACTTTTCAAAAAGAAAAAAAACTACAAAATAGTTTGGAATGAAACTTTGCATTTATTCAAAATAGTCTCCCTCCGACTCAATACAACGATTTGCACGATTTAAAAGTGATTCGAATGAGTGTTTTATCTCGTCAACCGGGATGGCCTTATGCCGGTCGTCGCCTTTTCAATGGACTTTATGTCATCAAAATATCTTCCTTTCATTGCCAATTTTAATTTTCCGAATAGGAAAAAGTCACACGGAGCTAAATCAGGTGAATATGGTGAGTGGTTGACGGTAAGAATGTGATTTGAATGTGATTCGAATGCTGAATGCGAAGCGCCTTTTCGTGCTCTTTGAGTGTGTGTGGAACAAACCGTGCACAAACCTTCCGCATACCCAAATGCTCAATCAAAATGCGATGAATAGACTTATCGGATATCTCCAACTCCATTTCCATGTATCTCAACGAAGATTTTGGTTCTTTTTTTGACAAAATCACGAACATTTGAATGTTTTCATCAATAACAGCACTTTTCGGAAGGCCCGAACGTTCGTCGTCTTCCAGGCTTTCACCGAGTTTAAAACAAAACTTAATAACCGCTCTTTGCTCCATGATTTTTCGTCGACCAACTAACACAAGGTACTGTCACTTAAAACGCAATAATTCCAATTCCACTGTTCCAAATGTCTTGAAATTTGGAGGGAAAATCGGTGAATAATGTATCTTTCAAACGCATATACTCACACAAAGATGGCGGCACCAGAAAATGCCCTTTATGAAAAGTTCGGAAACTTTTGACACACACCTTGTATATGTATGCAACAGGGTTTAATTTACAAGGTTGTAAGGATTTCATGGAATCAAACAAAAAATTTTTTTTTTTTGCCTCAAATTAACTTTTAATCTTTTTAGAAGATAGTACTCTAGTAGCTAGTATAGGAAATCTAGTAAGTAAATTTAGCTAGTAAGTATATATAATCTTGATCATCTCATAAACCTTTCTAGTAATCCACTAAATCTGAAAATGTGTAGCTTTGTGCGTGCATATAAATCTACAAATCAGCACAACCGAACTTGGAAACTCCTAGAACGGAACACTCCTGCTCCCTTAATAGGACTTTTTTGATTTATTTTTTGATTTTAAACAAGAAAGGAAAACTAACTTCGGGCGGAGCCGAAGTTTATATACCCTTGCAGCTAAAACCGGATATATATCGCAAACATCGGATATAGTTAGCCGATTCTTATGAAATTTGGTACGTTAGATCAACTGACCAAAAATAGAATCTGTATTAAATTTCAGCTTTCTATCTTCAAAAAAACGAAAGTTGGGTCATTTCCGATCGTTCAGTTATATGGCAGCTATAGGATATAGTCGGCCGATCCTTATGAAATTTGGCATGTCGTAATGTTTTGCCAAAGATAGCTTTCGTGTCAAATTTGAACTCTCTAACTCTAAAAACACCAAAGTTATACCATTTCCGATCAATCAGTTATATGGCAGCTATAGGATATAGTCGGCCGATCCGGGCCGTTCCGACTTATATACTGCGTGCAAAGGAAAGAAGGGTGTGTGCAAAGTTTCAAGACGATAGCTTTAAAACTGAGAGACTAGTTCGCGTAGAAACAGACAGACGGACAGACGGTCAGACGGACAGACGGACATGCTCATATCAACTCAGGAGGTGATCCTGATCAAGAATATATATACTTTATAGGGTCGGAGATGTCTCCTTCACTGCGTTGCACACTTTTGAACAAAATTATAATACCCTCTGCAAGGGTATAAAAAGTTATCCCTCCAAGTCAAAAAAAAAGTTTTATTGCTGCAATCTTACAAAACTACAAAATTTTAACAGACGTAAAACTGGTACTCGACTGATACTGCTCGCTGTAAGACCTGTATACACTGACTGAAAACAGAGGGGATTGTGGACTGGGGAATGATTAACCCGCTAAAACTAAGTACTAGAGATATATGTAAATTATAATAATAAAAAATAAAATACGTTTTTTTAATACCGTTTAGAGTCCCATATAATATAGAACTTACAACTTTGATTTTTGCTTGGATCTCTCTCAGTTTTCGCCTTGCTAGCACTTGGATGTGTGAACTGACTTGTTTTCTGGTTCTCGTTTTACCTGTGCGTAGTTTTATATAACGCGCAATCAGTTCGTTCCGACCTATAAAATTAAAAATATTTATTAATTAGTTTTTATATTCAAGGAAATCTATGAATATAGTTGTTCAGAAAGGTTAGACGAGTTAAAGAAATTCATATTTTCATATTTCCGATCGTTCAGTTATATGGCATCTATAGGAGATAGTCGGCCGATCCTTACGAAATTTGGCATGTCGTATTATTTTGCCAAAAATAGCTCCCACCTAAAACTCTCTAACTTTAAAAACACCAAAGTTATACCATTTCCGATCAATCAGTTATATGACAGCTATAGGATATAGTCGGCCGATTCCGGTCGTTCCGACTTATATCCTGCGCAAAGGAAAAAAGGGTGTGTGCAAAGTTTCAAGTCGATAGTTTTAAAACTGAGAGACTAGTTTGCGTAGAAACAAACAGACGGACAGACGGACATGCTCATATCAACTCAGGAGGTGATCCTGATCAAGAATATATATACTTTATAGGGTCGGCGATGTCTCCTTCACTGCGTTGCACACTTTTGACCAAAATTATAATACCCTCTGCAAGGGTATAAAAAATTAACCGACAAAATTGGCTTGAACCAATTTAATTTTACTTCAATAAAACGGGGCAACATACAAAATACAAAGTAAAGACGAAAAAAACTACCGCTTAGTTACTAAGAACCACGACAACCAAGTGTTCGGCTTACTTTACCTACCAACTATAGAGTAGCAGGGGACTGAAGGTTGTCATCAAGGGATCAAAATTAAATTATTGAAGGAATTGAATGAAAAGGAATTAAATATGAAAATGACTATTGCAGCCCAGGATGTGTAGTGTAAGAAAAAAACTGTTTATAGCACTTTTTTGTGATGTTTTAATATTTTTTTTATCAAAATTGTCGAGCTTCAAAAAATCTTGTTCTCGTTGTTGTTCGCTTCTACTGAGACTGTGACGATTGAGATGATATTTTGGTTCAATATTTTGAAACTAAATGTCGGTATTACTGCTACCATCGGTCGTCTTGTTGTGGCGCTAATATCGTTTAGTTATTTCGATGTAGTGTCGACGCTTACATGGTGCCATCGTTGCCCAGCATCCGAATCCTTGGTTATGACTGGCTTGTATTCATCTGCAGAACCTAGCAATAAATTACTTGGATTGAGAGCTTCGTCATCTTTTAAGTCCAAGGATACGAATGTTAGGGGACGGGAGTCGATCACGTATTCGGCATTCGTCTGGGCGTTTCGAAAGCTTTCGTCGTTAAAGCTGTAATAAGGAAAGATGCTTTTTACTATAAGTTTTCTTGACCGTATTAAACGTTCCCAAGCTCCTCCCATATGTGGAACGGCTGAACGATTGATGTTCCATTTAATCTCGTCGTACTTGACGGTTATGTTGTGGATGTTTACATTCTCCAGCTCCTCCCCGACTACTTTTTCAGTCGCATTGAAAATGCTTCCGTTATCCGAATATAAGGACAGCTCTGGCTGTCCTTCGTCGTTCCATAAAGTTTGAGGGGCACATTACGCATGAGCTTGTGTCGAGGCTATGCGCTATCCCATCTTTTTTCCCACATTCACGGCAATAAAAGCTGTCGATCCTGGCTGCTGGCAATGGTGCCATCTGGGGTGCTATTGGGGATGCTGCGTCGTTTTTACATTTCTGGCATTGTTTTCTAACAGACTTTTATACCACTCTTAACTGGGGTATAAATAACTGACTTCTGATTATATTTATAGCTTCTTCATGCAGAAAATAGTGTTTTTTTCGTGGTAGTGCTTGACGAGGAGATGTGTCACCAGGTGGCGTTTGGGTAGCACTATTTGGTCGTCGTTTAGGTTTATAGTTTATTACCTTCCCGGGTCCGAATTATACCGCAGTCGTCTAGTTAGATATTCAACCCAATAAGCGCGCTCGTATTTTGGATGATATTGTTTTCTTGAAGAGAACCTAATTCTTCTTTGAAAGCATCTCTTTGCGCTACTTTGTACAGCAGGTTCTTTTCTTTCTATTAAATTACTATTTCCTCGGACAAGGTTTTCAGGATTATTTCTCCTTGACATTTCGCCTTTAGAACTGACTTTCACATACATCATGAAGGTCGATGTGGCACGGTTAAGACGTTTCCAGTTTGAGAACAATTCGATATTTAGTTTTAAAAGCACTGGACTATATACTCTGGTAGCTAAAACTATATTTTTGAGCTCGTTATTATTGTTTTTCATATGTAGACATGGTTAATAATTTGGCCACTGGCCTTTAGGCCTTTTCAGGAACGGCGGTCCGCTGGTTTGGCGATTATTTTCAAAGCCATATCTGCGACGTTCTCATGTATCCTACACAAGTTCAAGTGAAATTTTTACTTCTTTCGGTGAATTCTCAACCTGTTAAGTCGCGATACAGATGTGTGGCGGCTTACCTCTTCGACAGTTGTATTCTTTTAATTTTTACTTAATTTTACGGATATCCTCCTGATATATTGTTTTAAAGATATGATAGTAAGTATAAAAGATGAATTTTTCGTCTGATCTGATCAAATTGGTACTTTTTGTGGTCGTGGTTTTTGGGTAGATCGCAATCTTCCAGTGAGGAGTTCGAGCAAGCTCTATTTGAGTGCTTACATATTTTGTATATTTCATCTAGATTGTTTCATTTTATTTTTACTTTTGTCGTGGCTGCCTCTGTTTGCTCACTACTCACCTCCATATCGGCCCGAATCGCGGGAATATATTAAAGCTTAATTTTTTTGCTCACATACGAGTTTCGAAAAACATCTTTTAAGACTCAAATGTGAGAAAAGTGAAATGATGCGATGGGGACCATTGTAGTTCCACCAGAACATTAATTTCGGCAGATGTCGAACTACAAAATCAGAGGAATAAAAAAATATAATTCCAAGTTCCTTGAATAGGAACGTAGAATGTACGTCTACGATGATAGGAAGGAATGTTGAGGTTTTCATCCCAGTTGGGTCCCTAAGAGTAAATAGTAAGAAACTCTTTTTTACAAATTCAATACGTTCTTGGTGATGTGGTATGTATGTAGCTTGGATAAGGCTAGATACATAAAAATTACCGAAGTTTGCATTTTGATCCATTAAATTGGTTTATATTCAGATGTCTGATGGCAAAGGGCTTAAGGTTTCCACGTGTGTCAGGCTACGTGGACAGGCTACTCTTCTGTTTACAGCGAGTTCCGAAATGTCGTGCTGGTTGTTAGTATCGGTGAGCCAGTGTGTCTTCCCGGAGTGATAATAGCTTTTTATAATTTGCCTCATTTAGACTTGGTAAGACGAGAGCCCAAGTGGGGTCGCTTTTCCTTATACTCACCGTAATCTTTGTCTTCCTAGTGAGTATTGAAAGTTTATGAAATAGTTTTCTACCATTTTTGATATTTATTTTTGATTTTTTACTTAAGGATGTGTCCTACCGCAAGCTTGTAGCGAATTTCATCAGACTTTTTTCTACGTCGTTTGATAAGGATGGTGGTACCTTAAAGATTATTGTTATTAGGGTGGTTTGTCATTTGGAATGTCTAGACGTGGGTTTTCAAAAGTCAGTAATCATGGTTAAGTGTATTCTTCAGGAATCATATTCAAACTTCTCTCTCTTCCTCTTAAGCGAACGGTCGTGTTTTTTTGTGCGCACTGCGTTAATAATAAATATTGGTAAACCTGTGTTTACTTACTTATGAATCTATTGAGAATCTTAAGTTTTGAGAATCCTAAACCGTATCGCTTCGCGAGTGCTGTGGTATATTTGGAGGAGAATTAATAATTTGTCTAAATTCAATTCCAAGCATAGTTCAGCTCTGCTTCTTCCCCGTCTTATCTATATTTCTGCACTTTTCCTTTGCACTCTCTAAAGCTCCCGCTTCGTCTTCCTATTTCGCACAGTGGTTCAAGGAATAGTGTTTTTTAACTTTTTATTTATTAATTTTGTTAATTATTAATTAAAAATATGGAATTTAAACTTGTCTGTGCTATGAAGTCTTGTAACAAGACAATTTCCTCATCCCAGCCTACCATCCATTGCTGGCTATGTGAAAATTGTCACGCTGCCCAAGGCGAAATAAGGTCGTTCATGAGACAGACCAAGAATAAATTTAATGAGCTGATCACTGGTTTTCATAAAATCAATGACCAGCTCTGTGCGCTTGACCCTCAGTTTAGTGGCCTTAAGCTGATAAATAAGTCTCCTAAGCGTTAGAAATCCGCTGTTTCTGATCCGCCTCAGCCTGCTCAGCCGACATTAATGCAGCCGCTTATATCTCTGGCCACCCCAAGGGCTAGAACTGAGAAAAATTCGTCCGAATTTCTCAGGGATCATGAACAATTGTCCGATATGTCCGCCATGGCATCCCTTCAAGTGATGCCACAGGTCCTAGGGAACGAAACCCCCCCCATTAGAGTCACCCAAAAGGGTATTAAACAGTCCGGACCACCGGCACCGACTGATGCTGCAGTTCTCGTACCTGCGACACCAAAACCCTTACAGGTGATTCCTCCATCGAAACATATATTTGTTTCTAGGCTTGCCCCTGATACTTTAGAGATTGATATCTCGGCGTATATGAAAGCCAAAAGAAAAGCCGATATAAAGTTGGAGGACATAGCTAAATTTAAACATAATTATATACGTCGCACGTCTTCTTTCAAGATTCGTGTGCCCGCGCTGATGTTCAAGACGATTTGTTCACCCAGCTTTTGGCCAGAGTTCCGTGAAAAAAAAGTATTAAAACCAGCGGGAGTTAAACTACCCGATATCAGAACTACTGACCAACCTTCCCCTCTTCTTCGTCCACTAACCCAAAAAACTAGTATCGTCATTAACACTTACTTATCAGAATACTAGGGGGCTATGTGGCAAACTCCCCAAACTATATTCTGATAGTTCTTTCTTTGCATCCCATATTATAGCCTTTACAGAAACTTGGTTAAAGCCGGAGATCTTTAGCTCCGAAGTTTTTCCAAGTAAGTACACCACTTTTAGAAGGGATCGACCTCAACGAAGGGGGGTGGAGTCCTCATTTCGG